ATGGTGAAATCATTATCTTAAATAACCAAAACGTTTGAATTGGTTGGAAAGGCGGGCGGTTTCTATTTTTTCCAAAAACATTCTTCATTCTATTATTTAGTTGGGCGGGAATTGAAATCATTTTTTTTGCTGATTTTTTGATCTTTTTTCAAATAAACTAGTACAGATCCCGTGCGATGCACATGGTGCACAAAAGTCATTTATCAAGTCTTATAATTATATAAATGAATAAGGAAAAATATACAGGATATATATAATACGTGACATGTAATAGGCCAAAATATGAATACGGGTGATGCACGGGGTGCACAAGTTTCTAGTATGTGTAATACAAATACATATTGTATGCACGAGATAAAAGCAATAAATGAGTTATTTCCACATAACTTGCCCGTTAAGTAGCTCCTAAACACGGGTGCACAATTTGTAGTACATACCATAAAATCAAAACAAATTTCCATACAATTAGATAATAAATTAAATAATAAATAAAGCCTTTTTTATTTTAGTAAAGATTTTACGTACTTTTTTATTTCCATCCAATTTTATAGGATGCATTAAATATTGATTAGATTTTATATGTAAAATAAAATAAAAAATAACTGGAATAGTTTTACGTGTTGCAATATTTTATATTTAAAAAAATTAAAAAATCTTTTTTTACGTATTGCATACCAATATTTTAGGAACTACATGGATATTCCTAAATTAATATCGCATACCCAATATTTTAGGAACTAATTAAAGGCTAATTTGATTTGCATACCAAAAATATTAGATACATTAATTAAATGCTTGATAAAAATAGCAAATTATTAATTATGGTTGACTATTCTACATACTACATTTAGTAAATAGTATAGCTTCTAATATAAGTATAGATATGATATGGGAATATCTAACATGACATAGGCAGATTATTCAGCCATATATACCTGAATTTCAGATAAACTACTCTATGCACATAGTAATTTTATGTTCATGAAACTTTAAGTATGAAATACTTGCATACAATTATTATATTATACGTATAATAAAAGTAAAACAATAAGCTGAGTAAAAAATCTTATTTGTATTAGTTTTTTCATCCATTCTGCTTCTGTGATCCTTCTTTTATGAGTAGTGTAATGTTGATTTGTAGCACCATGTTTTTCCATGCTTATACTTCTCTTCTGTTTTAATGTTCCCAATTCTATGAGATGTCATTTACTTTATAAAATCAGTCAAATAGATAAAAAATATTTTTTTTTTCGAATCCCATCCAAAATGGAATTGCAAACAAATATAGTTTTAATTAAGCATAAATTCATGTGATTGAATAGTTATCATTTTAGTAGAGATTTTTAAATTTTCATTTGAATAAATCCCTTTATTTTAGGAAGTTCAAATTTATAAAGATGTCATTGTGGTTTTTGATTTCACACGATTGAACAAAGAAAAAAAATTTGATTTATAAGGTGTATTATGAAGGAATAAATCCCTTCATATAAGGGATTTTGTCTCTTTAAACTATCCAAACAAAAAAATATCCACTCATAGATTTCAAATCTTACCAAAGAA